TAAGGGCACCTGGGTGGCTCAGTCTGTTAAGTGACCAACTCAATCTCCGCTCATGTCACGATCTCACAGTTTGTGGGTTTGAGCCCTGCATCAGGCTCTGTGCTGACAGCTCAGAGCCTGGGGCCTGCTTCGGATTCTGTGTCTCCCTCTCTGTCTGCCCCTTCCCCACTCATGCTTTGTCTCTCTGTCAAAAATAAACATTTAGAAAAAAATCTTTGAAGAAAAATAAAATAAATAAACATTGAATAAAACCCCACAACACACCATTCATTTCACAGTATCCTTAGAGCATCTCCTCTGTGCCCATGGTTTAAATGCCGAGGGTACAGGGGTTGACAAACAGATCTCTGCTGTCCTATAGCTAACACTCACAAGTATTGAATGCTTTTCAAAAATTGGGCTTTATTTTACTGCCTTTTCTTGGACGAGAGATTCTTTGGCACTAAGTGCAGCACTGGTGGGAAGGCCTGCAGTGTTTGTTTCTGTCCCCAGGTCTCTCCAGGTGACACCGGGTGGGATGTTTTCAGCCTGGACTACCACGTCGATGGGCCAATTGCCACGGTAAGGCCATTCAGCTTGCTGTTTTGTTGTTTCAGAATGGGCTCTCTTCTCTCAGAGCTTCTACTGAAGGCCATCACTTGACCTCTGGTCAGACCCACTGAAGGAATACCTAAGCCACAATTCTGTGTGGCTTAGATAATCATTAACAAGTGCTGAAATGCTCTAGTATTTTACGAATTCCTACAAATACCCTTTTGTAGGGTTCAGCAGGCATGTAGTAAATGGAGTGCTCGTTGGAACCCATAATCCTTAGACCACAGTAGCGAATTCAGAACAGACGGAGAGAGACTAGGACGTGCATTGTAGAGGTCACACTTATGCTACTTAGATGAAGTCTGACCTTCAGTGTTCCCTGGGACCCAGGAGCACCCAGGAGCAGCCCATGCTGCTGCTGTCCATGGTGCTGGTGCTGCTGTCCATGGTGCTGGTGCTGCTTGGAGCAAAGTACCGGTTCCTCCCGGAGTTCCCAGACCGTGAGAGGCTGGCTCCTCTGTGTGCTGTCTGCGACCCAGATGCCCTGCCTTAAGTGCCCGCTTTCTCTTCAGCTTGGAGTCAGTTCTCCTTGACCAGGACGCTTCTTTGGAGTGATGTCAGTCGTTTGATATCTGAAATACTGAAGGAGAACATGCGTTTCTTTTAGTTATTGGGAAAAATATTTTGTTAAGAAGTAATGTAGTTTGGCTGTGAAAATCCTCCTTGACGGTCCTTGCAGAGTGTGACTCCATGGCCGTTCCCACGTCTCCAGGTGTAAGTCACAGCCCTGCCAGGGTGCACCAGCGCAGCTGCCTCGCACTTTGGGGCAGCAGCCGTGCCTGGGACATGTGGCTCTTGTGTCTGCTGTGAGCCGGAAGCTCCTGGTGCGCGTGTTTCACACATATTCCTAGTGTTTAAGCTGTACCAGATCAGAGCTACTGTATTTTAAATGCATAACTGCTCTTAAATTTGATTTTTTGTCATATTCAAATTAGTTTTTTCTTCTTTGACTTATATCCTAGTTTCCAGTACTTACTTGTTAAAATATCCTGTTGTGTACATTATTATTTAAATCAGAAACTTTTGTATTGTCTGTTTTGTTAATACTGACTATGTTCATATCATTTTGCCACAGATGCCAAAGTAGAGGCCCTTGTGTTTGTTATTTCCTAGAACGTGAGTGCCTTGAATGTTAGATAAATTGAACGTACTCATACATGCAGTTAATCATTTCACAATAGTGTAGGCTCACGAAGCATACAAAGTTAAACATTGCACACCTTGTATATAAACAATTGGTTATGCAGTATATTTTTTAAATTTTAGCTTTTTGTAAACTCTAATCGAGAGGGTCAAGAGACATTTATATCCTAGATTTATTTAAAAAACAACTTTGGGGTGGATCTCTGTCTATGGCTAACAAGTGTTAACTTACCTGCCAATTCCAGCAGGTGGAGGGTGTGCCTGGGAGGCCGCACTGGGTGGGCGCAGGGCCCTGTGACTGCCGCAGGATGTGGGGGATGGGGTCTTGCACGTCCGGTTTTGCTATTCCAGTTCTGGGGTTTGCTGATGTCCCAGGTTGTTATATTTTTAGCTAAATGGAATCTTTTATTTAAAAATACACTTCCAGAGTCGAATTTTGGAAGAAAATGGATTTTCTGCTTCTTCCCTATTAAATTTACAGTATTATCTCCATTCCCTTTCTATTCTCGTTAATTGAGATTGCCAGTTTTGTGTATAATTTAATTATAATGAGTACATATATTAGTCACATAATTTCATCTTATATAATATAGTATAATTTTAGCTTCTTGTTAATTCTGGGAAGGAGGATGTGGAGAGGTTATCTGTGATCTTCTCACTGGGATCTTGGGCAGGATAAAATCCATTGACTTGGTCTCCAGGGTGTCAGGTGAGATGCTTATTTTGTATTTATTATGTATGCTCATATCGTATCAGAAACTTATTTCGTATTTTGCTAAACTTCCTGGTGCACAGACAGTGAACCAAAAGACGATGCACACGGCAAAACTAAACGTGGGTTATCTCCCCATGTAAACGCCGTGGGATATAGGAGTGTCTCTCTGAAACAGTGCCTGTTCCTAACAAATCCTGATTAAACTATGTTTGTAAATTGGGTCACGTGAAATGCACTCTGGGAGGCCAGCACTGAAAGGATCCCTACAAGGCAGCGTTTGTATAGCAAGGGTTTCTGTGGTTGATTTGTAAAATTATTTAATCCAGTCACCCTTTATTTCTATAGTTGCAGACACAGTAGTGTGGTCAGCACAGCAAAGTACATAACCCCCAAAACAGTCCTAACTGGTCTCAGAGTCCATTCAGAGCAGTTCCTAGCCAGTCCAGTATAGACACATACAGTCATCAGTCAGTACTGAGCACTGCTGAATACTGGCACAAAAGGCATACAGAAGAATAAACAGATACTCCTTATAACACATGAGCCAAGAATACACAAAAATAAGAAGACAAAGGTAAAGCAGTCTACAGCTAAATGCTCAGATTGTAGGGGTCCAGTGATAAATGTCCTGTCTGGAGAAGAGGGACATTGGTGAGGCCAGGGAAGGGTGTGTGGCCTTTGTCCTTGAGGGCCAGGTGGGGTCTGGGCCAGAGGAGAGTGTGGAGCAGTCCGGGAGTGATATGAGGAATGGCCCTGGGGCGTGAATGAGGCTGGGCTCCAGGGTGAGAAAGCAGTGATGCAGGGCCCAGCCTGGCTCCTGGATGCACAGTGCAGAGCTGCTGGGAGCTGAGGCCCCAGGGAGGGGTGTTTCCAGTTCTCTGTACTGCAGGGAGAGGGCTGCCGACTCAGGGAAATGCATCCTTGCTCGAGGGACTGGGAAAAGTAAACGTACCCACGTCTGTTGTGCACACGTTGGTGTGCGAGATGTGTTTGGCCCCCATCTGCAGAAAACCCTGTTACTGTACACACGGGACAGACTTCCTAGACGATGTTTTGTGGTTCATCTGACATTCGTACTTAACCAGGTGTCCTGTGTTCTTATTTGCTAAGTGTGGCCCCTGTGGGAGGGAAGCTCGCCCAGCCCCTGCCCATAGGTCCATCCTCCCAGGGTATGAGACCACCGTCCGTCCGTTTGCAGTGAAGTGGCTCCACAGGCAGTAAATACCTGTGTTAAGATAACCCGGAGGCCTCTTGACAGACAGGAGACTCTCCTAGGCCCACCTGGCTTGAGATGTAGCAGCCTCATGTGTCCGTCCGGGTGGTTGGGGCGGAGGACACTGCTGCACGGTTGACGTTGGGGTTAAGAGCCCACATTTTGACTGGGTTTAGGCAGCATTTAAAAGACCCGAGAAACTGTTTACTAGCTCTGTGACCTTAGGCCTCTGTCTTTCAGACAGATATATTGGTACCAAAATATCTGCTTCTATCCTTGTGAGTTTGCCCCACGTACTACTTAGCACACAGGTCGTCACCGTGGTTGTATTTGATGATACTTTCCTAAAACGTGTTATATTAGTTGCCTATGTAATGCTTGGATTTATTAGAGTTGATTGTGTGTTCTCTGGCTTCTTTTGCCTTAAAAAAAAAAGATGCGTCAGAAAGGCTGTGTTGTCACAGGAGGGTCCCTAGGTCACCGTAGGTCAGTGTGCTGTCAGCTGTCCTGTGCCTTTTTTCGCAGGTGTTCACGCGAGAGTGCATGAGCCACTACCTCAGGGTGTTTAACTTCCTCTGGAGGGCAAAGCGGATGGAGTACATCCTCACGGACATCCGCAAGGGACACATGTGCAATGCCAAGCTCCTGAGGAACATGCCAGGTAAACCCACCTGGGGAGGTCGGGGCCGCTCCCCTGCCAGCCCCGCATCCCCGTGCTTCTGGAGCGGGCTTCTGTGGGAGGCTCATCTGTGATACTGCTCATCCTGACTTGGTGCAAATCAGAAAGAAAATTGAATCCAGTTAAATTTTTTCAGACCACGAGATTTCTTTCAGAATTACGTTTGTTCTCACTCTGCTGTTCATGTCTGGACTTTTTTTTTTTTAATTTTTAAGGAAGGAAAGCTATGTTTATTTGTTTATTTTACAGGAAGGAAAGCTATTTAATAAACCACTGTCTCATTTAAAATTCACTTATTGTTTTGATTAAAGTCTGTTTGGGAATCACTTTAATGTTCTGGTTCATAAACCGTGACATGAAAATTTTTTATATTATTTTACAATTAAAAGCTGTGGTAAAATTTAGATGGGTTTATTTTAATGTTACAAATACTGAATAACTGTAGTTACCGATAATTTTGAATTTTTCGTATTGAAATTCATTTGGTCAGAACCTTTGAGAAAGTATTTCAACAGTGTGTCTCCAAGGAAAAACAGCACTGAGCGATTCTTAACCCTTTGGTGAAAGTGATTATTGAAGAAGGAGCTGTTGCTTGAAGAAAGGTGTATGTGACCTTTGCGTGATTGCTAGGTCAAGGCTGAATCTTGAGCAGCTCCCAAAGTCCCAGGATAATGACACCCCGGAAGCCGGGGGCCTGGAGGGTACCTGACTGTGTGGACAGAGTGGCCAGTTTTTACTGGGCGTCCCTGCTTTCTGTATACACAGCAGGCCTTTTCCAGGGGCATCAGGACGCTCTGATTATGTTCCTGGCCTGGCTTTCGGACTCACTTCATAGGTTGATAATAAGGACCCTCTGATGTAGCCGAGAAGGACGTGAGAGGGAACGTTTTCTTGTCAATACCCTAATGGTTGTGGACAGGAGATACTGCCTTCAGCTATTTCTAGTACCTGTGCGCTGCCTCGCCGGCTGGCTCTTCGTGAAAGAGGCAGAAGGAGGCGTCAGTCACTCAGAGGGCCTGCCTGTCTCCTGGCTCTGCACCTGTCTCTCGTCCCCTGGTGTCACGACCTCGTGCTGTGTCTCGGGGTGACTCACACAGTCTGTTGGGTGCGCCCTGGCGGGTTGACCCCTTTGCCAGCCGCGTGCCTTCTCTGGGGCTGCCTGGCACTGCCGCGTGTGTGTGCCCAGGTGTCACCTCTCTGTGCCCGACTCAGATCCTCTCCAGGCAGGGCAGACGCTTTGTTCCTGTCACCCTATTTCAAAATAAGCGTCTGTTATTTTTAGCCCTGGGAAGTCTGAGCTCTGTGACAGTTCTAAGTATTAGCTCGTGGTTTGAATATCACCTCACCAGTGTCTGTATGAATTTGCTGTTCTCTTGTATTGAATAATCAGCGAGCTTTGTTTTCTACTTGAAGGTAGTGTGGGAAAAAATAGACCTTCTGTTTTATAAAATCAATAACTTTAACATAACCGGTGCTATCTCGGAGAGCTTAGCGTTCGCTTACTTCACTGACCTTTTCCTTGTCACTGAAGCTTCTACAATCTTTTTAATAGCAACATTTGCCTCGTGTGAATATACCATTCGATTTTTTTCCCTTTAGTTGTACTTTTTCCCACTAACGTAAATAACGCCATTTGCTTGTATTATATGCCTTTGGCTATTTCTTTAGGTAACCGAGGGAAGGAACACTGGGTTTGCGGGGATGGATTTTAGTTTACTTCACATTCATGAATAGCGATCCTGATAGTTCAGCTGTGGGCGCGTACGGTCACATGACTTGAGGAGCCAGGCACCAGGTTGAGGTGCATCTCGAGGGGCACAGTCCTCTGGCGGCTGTGTGCGTTCCTGTTAGCTGGCTGCTGTTGGGTGTTGTGTTCAAACAAATCGTCAATTCGAGAGGGGAAGATGGAAGTTCGTTTTAATTAATTTAATGCTTTTTAAATTATTGATGACTAAACACTTTCTTGGTCATTGTGTTTCTTTTAGGAAACTGGTTTTTTGCTCATGTCTCGGTTGGGGTGTAATGTTCTTACTTTTATTTATAAAGAGTATTTTAAAGTTGTTAAAGTTGTTGCTGTCCAGGCAACTTAACGAGCAGAAATCACCCAGCTAGTTAGTCTTGTTAACACAACAAATCTAGAAACATCTTGCCAGTCATAAATCTGAGGCAGAACTATAGAAGATTACAGAAAGTGCTTCTGGGAGCACCTTTGGAGATTTGCATATATGCATGGTGTGTGGAGCTGTCTTGGTCCATATGAACAGTATCACTGATTGTTATCCCAGATACTTTAATAATATTTATTAAAATAAGTTTTTTGGAGTAAATAGTTACACTTGAAAATGATTTGCTTAGGGGGCACCTGGCTGGCTCAGTGGAGCAAGTGACTCTTGATCTCGGGGTTGTGGGTTCAAGCCCCATCCGTGTTGGGTGTAAAGATTACTTAAAATAAAAAAACTTAAAAAACCAACCACACAAAAAGAAAATGATTTGCTTAGTACAGGAGTTCTTGATAGTGTCTACCAAGATGTTTATGCCTGTTTTTATATATCTGTCATTCAGCTGGACAGAAGGCAATTGTTGATACCAAAATCATTTAAAGATTTGGTTCTAGTGGTATGGAGATTTTTTGTTGTTGTTGGATTCAATTAATGTAGAAAGTATCACAATTAATGGAAACTTCATTTGTGTTTCAAGTAATATCTAACAAAATGAAATAGATAAATACAGTCAAATGAGCTTGTAATTAAAAAAAAAAATTAATGTTTATTTTCACAAGAGAGAGAGAGAGAGAGAGAGAGCAGGGGAGGGCCAGAGAGAGAGGGAGACACAGAATCTGAAGCAGGCTCCAGGCTCTGAGTTGTCAGCACAGAGCCTGATGCAGGGCTTGAACCCATGAACCATGAGATCATGACCTGAGCTGAAGTTGGATGCTTAACCGGCTGAGCCACCCAGGTGTCCAAATGAGCTTGTATGCTTCTCAACCTTTGTGTGTTGAGGGAAGAGAGTGAATGGAGGTCCCTCCCTCCCCAGAGGGTGGTATTAAAATGATCTCCTTCTTGGTCCTTGTAAGAAATGAAATTGAAGGTGGTGGAGGTGGGAGAGGCGGTGGGGTCCTTGGGGGAGACCTGTCACCACAGGACTGCTGTGGCATTCTGCCAGTTTAATTGGCAGTAGTTTCTCTTTCTTGGTGATTAATACAATAATGGTTCATCTGATGATTGACAGTGTTCCAGACCTGCAGAAATGATAACTTGAAAAACGAGTAGGCATTTTTCTCCTTAGAGGTTCTCTTTGTGTGTATCATTTTTGTATACGCTGATGAGTAGGTACTCCTCAATAATTACACATTTATTAACAGCTCTCAATGCCGGACTTTTGCTGGGCGGCATTGCCCGGGTTTGTGCGCGGTCCCTCAACACCAGGCTGTGGCCACAGCTGACTTCCTTGTCTCCTGCCTCAGTTTCCTCATGGGGGGAGGGATGTCGACAGTGCTTACTTCCAGGTCTGTGTAATGCACTTACCAGTGCTGCCCCCGGTGGGGGTGGATACTTGTTCAGGTGTCACTGCCACCTTCCTGGTGACGTGGTGACAGCAAATGGCGTTTGCAGAAGGCCCTTTGTGGTGAGTAGAGATTCGGAACACTCTTTGAAGCTTTAGCCTTGAGAAATTAATCAGATGGGTAATTTGATAGTCACTTTTAAGTATAGTAGTGTCAGTTATCAATGCAGGTTGAAGGAGGTGGTTTGCAGTTGTGAAGAAACTGTTTTAGGGTACTTTTTAAAAAAACAAACTTGGTGTAATTTTTAATGACCCTGCATGCTGTCGAAGGTGCTTCCCGCTGAAGATGCCCCCATAGCATGCCATCCAGTCCTGCTGGAGCCTGGGGCAGGGTGTTTCATGAGACTCTGTGTTCCTCAGGCACCTGTAGAGGGCAGCAAGGTGTTAGGAGTGATCAGCCACAGGAGAGACTCCTCATTCCAGATTTTGTGCAGGAAACTGTCTGCTTTTTTTTAAATGCGTTCACTGGGAGATGCTTGTGTTTATGTATTTTTTGGACCTCGGTACGAATGTTGCTTTGCTTTTGCGATTATTTGTAGGTCAATCATAAAAACACAAGTATTTATATTTTAATTATGTTTTATTTATTTTTTTAATTTACTTATTTTAATGTTAGGAGAGAGAGAGCACACACATGCACATGCGTGCACAGGTGGGGGAGGGGAGAGAAGAGAGGAAGACACAGAATCCGAAGCAGGCTGCAGGCTCTGAGCTGTTAGCACAGAGCGCAAGACCCACAGAGTGGGTCTTGAACGCATGAACCTTGAGATCATGACTTGAGCCAAAGTCGGATGCTTAACCAACTGAGCCACCCAGGTGCCCCTTAAGTATGCTTTAAATGTCTTTTCAAGGGTGTGGGACGTGCTCGGACTTGTTTGGTTCTGAAAGCCACTATGTCGTCAATGATGAAAATGAGCATCAGAGGCGAGGTTGGAGGTTGGTGATGGTGCTGTGAGGAGGGTGGCTGTGCTGGATGCCTGGTGGACACAGCAGCTGGGGTCAGGGGGACGTGCGTGAACTTGATGGAGCTCTCGGGTGCAGGGCTGGGTGACTGGGCCCTGTTTGGAGCTGGGGGGGGCACCTTTGGGAGTAATGCTTCAGTTTTAGGCATGTTAATGTGAGGTGCTTATAAGAATCTACGTGATACATCTGGTTTGAATTGATTTGCAACCTGAGACAGATCTGAACTAGAAATGAGAGTGTAGACAGTGTGAGTGGGGGTGACCCTGGGTGCCGTGGGAGCTTCTGGGAGCTTCCTGGGGGAGGGCTCCAGGGCAGAGGTGGCGGGCGGGAAGCCGCTGTGTCAGAGGAAGGCAGGAAGGCACGGAGATCCCGGGGTTTCCAGGTAGCATGGATGACTAACTAGCCAAGGCCCACAGCCAGGAATTTGAGGTTGGCCCCAGCGTGACTCGAGACACGAGAGGTTTTCGTAGATTAATCGGCGGTGGAGAAATTGTGCACCAGGTCACCCCGTGTCATGAAGTGGAGTCAGCAATGGTGGGCGGGGCACCGTGTTGCCAGCTGTGTGAGGCCCGACCGAGTTCCTCGTTTATGCGATCACATGTGACATGTAGAATGCGTTAGCAAAGTCATATAAGGCGCACATAAAAGCCAGCACATTATCCAAGGATTGCTGGATTGATGGTGGATGGGACCCCAGTGCACCCTAGGGGGCCCCAAGACCTAGAGACGAGAGCAGTGACACCCGCGTGTTTGTTGAGATTTTCCCGTTGCGTGTAGCACACTGACTTGGGCAGGTGATGAGACGGGCCACACGGATTTCTGTACTCCTGTAGCACGTCTGGGGCCTGCTTACCGTCTTCATGCATGTCTGTCAGGACAGGCACGGAATCTGCAGTCCATGAGTGATGTTAAACTCTCTGTGGAAGGAATGTCAGGACACAGAGATACCTTCTCACGAGGCTGAAAGACCAGCAGATGGCTTTCACTTGGCTCCGTGCAAAGTGGCGTGTTTGGACCCAGCGCAGGTGTGCTGGAGGGAAGACCCGGAGGTTTGGGTGTCACAGTGAGACCTGTTCGCTGTCACGTATGCTGTGTAAAGGAGCGTCTGCGTGCTGCGGGTGTTCTGAGTACACATCTGTCCAGGGGAGACTGCCTGGCCTTGCGGGGGAGGGAGCACCATCCCTGTCCTCACAGCCCTGGGGCAAAGCCCAGGATGGAGTTGTAATAGAAGCTTGCTTCCCCTGTGACACGGGTGAGTTGTACTTACAACAGCCTTTTATTATACTCTTTTATGCTGAAAGTAATTTAGGTAAATGGGCTGGGAGTGGGAGTTGGGACATCTTAGCCCCCTCTGAGAGTTTTATTAGGAGAAGTACATTCTTCATTCGGGGCTCATGTTACCTATTCTTTACGACACCGTTGACCACAGCCACGGACGGCAGGCTCCCGACGGCAGGGAAGACATTAGGGGGCTTGTCGCTCAGGCTCGTCTTCTGAGGGGGCTTGCTGTCTCCGCCAGCCAGCACAGTCCCCACGTGTCCCATACCCCTTAACCTGGAGAAAGGATTGTTTTCTAAAGTATGCATCACCACTGTTTCTCTACAAGTCCCTATTTCGCTTCCTCGTTTTTACTGTATTACAAAGGGACAAGAATGGTTTCTCGAATAACTGTGCAGCGATGATTATTTAACCACGCAATTAAAGGCATTTGGGTTGGAAACAAAAATAAATGTGCTTAAACCATTCCTTTGATGGTCTCATCTCTGACTGAACCCTCTATTGTGGTGGCTCTGGTACTCTGGTGGAGTCTTTGAATGAAAAATTGGAAGTGTGAGCAGAGAACGGCTGTTCTATGGTGACCTTCAAGCCTTTTGATGGCTTAATAATCTTGCAAAGAACAGAAGCAGAGTCTGGGCTCAGGCCCATCTCCTCCCAGTTCACCTGTCTCTCAGGTGACGAGGTCCTAATTCGGCCCTTCAGGAAATGTCACTTTTGTCTCCAGATTGCTGGGAGTCCCGAGGTCTCGCGCAACAGCAGCACACGTGTTGTAAAGAAGCCACGGCATTGAGCATGAATTCATACTTGTGAAGCAACTTGTCTACTGAATTTTCAGATGCAAATATTTTGTTTTGTGCTGTTCCTTGTCAGGTCCTTATGTCACGTAAAGTAACGTGATGCTGTTGATTAGCTAAACCCTTGTGTAGCTTGAATGGCACGGAGGTTGACCATGGAAAGACTGCTCCCTGTTTTAAGGGGCTAAGAGTTAAAGCCAGCGATTGTTTGTTTTTGAAAGTGATTGCAAATGAACGGGTGGGAGCAAGTGTGCCGTTTGAGCGTGTTGTGTGTGTGACACCAGCTCTGTGGCTCTCTTGCAGAGTTCTCCGGGGTGCTGCACCACTGCCACATCCTGGCATCCGAGATGGTCCATTTCATCCACCAGATGCAGTACTACATCACATTCGAGGTACTTCCTGAGCACCCTTTGGTTTAAATAAGTCACGATGTCTTATGTGGTGAGTTTCGTCAAAGACCCTACACCAGGAAGACACGACCTCCGTCCTGAGTCTCACGTTGTTGTTTCCTAGGTGCTTGAGTGTTCTTGGGATGAGCTTTGGAACAAGGTGCAGCAGGCCCAGGACCTGGACCACATCATTGCCGCACACGAGGTGTTCCTGGACACCATCATCTCCCGCTGTCTGCTGGACGCTGACTCCAGAGTAAGATGGACATGCCTTTTACACGGAGACTAGTAGTGTGGCCTGTGTGTTGGGCTCCTGTCCCAGGGAGATCTTAGAGATCGCCTGATGCCCACATTGTGGTAACTAATCACTTGGAGTTCAAGGTTGACCGTTTCTGGGCAGAGTTAGAATAAGAACACGCTCTGAAATGTGTATGAAACTGGTGAAGTGTGTGTTCACACCCACCCGTGGGCTCTCACCCACCCGTGGGCTCTTGGGCTCGGAAGACACAGGTGAACCACGAGCGGTAGGAACTGCCCATGTTCAGGAGAGGGTGTGAGGATGTGCGGAGCACGGGGCTGTGCCTTCACGTGCTCTCTAGGGACGGTGGTGTTTCCTGTGTGTGCCTTCACGGAGCGAGCCTCTGGCTGCACAAGTCGGAAAACAGTATTTGTCTAGATGAACTCTAAGCGTTGCTTGTGTTCCGCGGCCCTGGCTTGGTTGTTAGCATCGCTTCCCTGTGGGCCCCTGTTCCGAAAGTGGCTGTTCACGTGGCCAAACCTTCTGGAGTCGTGATTTTATTCGGACATCCGGGGAAATCTATTCTGATGTCAGAGTCAAAATGTCAGGCGCGTTTTTGACACTAAATGTGTGACTTTGGGCTCGTGGAGGGCCGCGTCTGGCTAAGCCGGCAGCTCCCCGAGGGGAGCACAATGCTTCTGGGGGCTCGCGCTGGGTGCAGCTGCGTTCCCCGGGCAAGCAGGTGTTAGTGTGCCACACTGGTGAACACCGCCTTCGTCCGCATACCACAGCGCTCACGTGCTCCTGGGTGGGAGTCGATTACCCACATGCTTGGGTAAGTGGGTTGAAACGATGACACAGAAGTAACTGAAAGCACTTGCGGTGTGATGAGTGACGTAAGAACTGTGTGCCTGCAGCCTTTTGGCCTTGGTTACTGTTAGTGAGTCTCGTCTTTATCGGCTGAGCTCCCAGACACTCGTGGGGTCATCTTGTCTGCTTGGCGGCACGCATGCTACCTGTCTGCGGATGTGCATCCGTGTGTGCTGTGTGGGCACAGCGCTGTCGTGTCAAGCGGGTGTGACACTCGTCTCTTTCACATAGGTCTGTGGGGGGGTAAATGGTATAATTGATGGAAACCATCCATCGTGGTGGCGCCTGATGCATGACGGATAGTGACCTGTGTGTAAGTCAGGTCCAGAATGGTTCAGAGCCATTCTGTGTGTGTTACAGAGATCGAGCTTGGGCAGGTGTAATGCGTGAGCTCCTGAGGGTTACACCCACACTGACCTCAGTCTACGTGGGGAGTGAGGAGCAGTCAGCGGCCGACCGCGTGTGATTTCAGCCACACGGGACAGTCGCGTATGCAACAGTCACACCTCTTGCCTCCAGAAGATTCCCACTGACATGAGCAGAATCCAAGCAGAAAATGTTTTACCTGTAACACACTTTCTCGTGGTTGTGGAAAGTTCACATGTGAGTTGGTCCTATGTCTCCTTCAGTGAAGAAGTCAGTACGCTAAAGACTTAATGTCCATTTTTTTTTTTTTTAATTTTTTTTTTTTTTTAACGTTTATTTATTTTTGGGACAGAGAGAGACAGAGCATGAACGGGGGAGGGGCAGAGAGAGAGAGGGAGACACAGAATCGGAAACAGGCTCCAGGCTCTGAGCCATCAGCGCAGAGCCTGACGCGGGGCTCGAACTCACGGACCGCGAGATCGTGACCTGACTGAAGTCGGACGCTTAACCGACTGCGCCACCCAGGCGCCCCAAATGTCCATTTTTGAAATGGCCCCTTTGCTGATGGTTTTAGTTTAAAATGTTGTTTTTAATTTTTTCTTTTTAAATTTATCTATTTATTTATTTATTTTTTTTCAACGTTTATTTATTTTTGGGACAGAGAGAGACAGAGCATGAACGGGGGAGGGGCAGAGAGAGAGGGAGACACAGAATCAGAAACAGGCTCCAGGCTCTGAGCCATCAGCCCAGAGCCCGACGCGGGGCTCGAACTCACAGACGGTGAGATCGTGACCTGGCTGAAGTCGGACGCTTAACCGACTGCGCCACCCAGGCGCCCCTTAAATTTATTTTTGAGAGAGAGAGAGACAGAGCACGAGCAGGGGAGGGGCAGAGAGAGAGGGAGACACAGAATCAGAAGCAGGCTCCAGGCTCTGAGCTGTCAGCATGGAGCCCGATGCGGGGCTCGAACCCATGAACCGTAAGATCGTGACCTGAGCCAGAGTTAGACGCTTAACTGACTGAGCCACCTAGGCACTCCTAGTTTTACTTTTAATTTGATGATTTAAAATAATCACTAGAGGTCTTGTTTTTTAAGGAACCCAATCTAGAATAGATTCAAGCAATCTGTTATGAAAATTCAGTGTATTTTTGGTGTCTCCCTTAGTCAGAAGTAAGGCTTTCTGATACTGCATCATCCTGCGGGTGTGCACACACATGATCCTCGCCTCTGCATTGCCAAGGAAGGACCTGAACCCCACCCGACTCTGCTGCCGACTGATGGTGGCCCAGAACACACAGCCGCGGCCGTGCCGTGCGAGCATACTGCTGACAGAGTCCTCCTCGCACCCTGAGTGAAGAAAGAGCATTCCGTCACCTCGTACAGTAGTTAACCGCTCCTAAGTAGCGAATATATCTTTCTTAAAAACAAAAGATTAGCCCACGTCCATCTTTTGTTTTGCTTTCTTGTTATTAAGCGAGAGAACAAGTAGCCTTATGGTAAGCCTGGTGTCTGCCCTGGGTCCTGGCGTCCTCACCCTGGGGGCAGCTACAAGGTAGTGAGGTTCATGCCCAGCAGTTAGTAGCCCTGTGCGGGGGCGTGTCTGAGTGGGTGCAGTGAGTCCCGTAGACAGTGCCGTGACGGTGGCCTCGCACATGCCCTCACCAACCCGAGCTCCTTCTCCAGCAGCGGTAGGCCAGGCCTGTCAGCCTCACTGCTTCCACCTGCCCGTGAGCTTGGAGCCCCTCTGCTTTCTGGGCTTCTCCTCTGCTTCTCTGTAAAGTCACATCATCTTGTCCCATAACATTCTGCACATCTCTTGTAGGCCTTTAGTACGTGTGTGCGGTTTGGCTGGTCTGTAGGGATGCTGTCGATTTCATTTTGCTCTTTTGTCTGCTTTTTTATCCTAGTAGTTTCTAGATCGCGTAGGTCCCGTTTTTATAGGGAAAACCATTTTGTTTCTTCCTTTCCACGGGTATGTTTGGCTCTTTTGACTTAGGATGTTAGCGGGGTCAACCAAGAGCACACATGCCACATCCCCGACATGGAAGACACATTTTCTTCTTTCACCCCTGACTGCGATGTCGCCAGATCTCCCAGGACCTTTATCAGATTACAGAGGGTCCTTGAGTCCTAGTTTGCTTAGATGCTTTGGATAAATCATGAGTGGCTGTTATGTTTTAACATGATTTTTTTCCTGTGATTTCAACATTTTCTTCCTCTCAAATTGTTAATGGGTTTTTTAAAACTCTAAGCTGGCGGAGGATCGAGTAGATGCCCCTCTTCAGTCGTGGGGCGCTGTTGTCCATCCATGAAAGACTTGTGTTTATTGGGTTTCACATCCCAACCCCCCGCACCCCTGCCATCCCCACCGTTGGCCCGGTTGTCTTTGTGTTTGCTGTTGGACCTTGGATGCATATGTGGCATTTTGCACAGATGTGTCTTTGGCTTCTACCTAAATGATGTTTGCTGAGCTCTGTTTCGGGGCCGCACTGGGAGGAAGCCCACCTGAAATCTCGTAGGTACCTGTGGAGGGCGCCGTGCAGCATGGAGACACTGGGCCCAAACACTGGCGGCTTCCAGTGTGGGACCGTCCGTGTGTGCCTGCTGTGAGCTGATTTTTAAAAACTGTTCTGAATCTGTTTCTTCTTTTATTTCATTAAGAATCTCTTTTCTCATATCTCCCATGTCTGATCTGGGTGTGTGTGGCTCCAAAGGGTGGAGAAAATGGAATTGCTTTCCTGTTCCTTTCTGCCCTCGCAGTATCTCTGCTCCTGGGGCTGCGCTGTGGCTTGTGATGTGCTCTGAGGGTGTGGGTGACATGGGACCCTGTGCCGCATGGTGCGTGCTCAGTATGCGCGAGTGGACAGGCAGAGCCCTTTGAGGGTGTGAGTTGATATCTTGTTTCTTCGTGCCTTTTTACTATTCGTCCATGTTCTTTGGAACAACTTCGGAATGAGCATGTTGGGGCTCTAGTCGTTAAAAGAAAAATCTTTGTCTCCTGTCCTCAGGCACTTTTAAATCAACTAAGAGCCGTGTTTGATCAGATCATCGAACTTCAGAACACTCAAGATGCGATATACAGAGCGGCTCTGGAAGAGTTACAGAGACGATTACAGTTTGAGGAGAAAAAGAAACAGAATGAAGTCGAGGTATGTCTGTGACACCGGGGGGTTTACCAGGTTTAAAAATGAGCTTATTGCCACCATAGTCACAAATACGACAGGTAACTTCCCTGCTGAAATGTTTGACTAACGCCGTGTGCACACCTGCGTGCGGAGTCCTGAGGCGGTGCTGACTGCTCCAGGGGACCGGTCACCATCGCTGTCATCCTGTCTTGAAAATAAATGAAGACAGCACCCGCGGGAATCCCGTGAGGGAGGTGCTGACGTCTCTGCAAACGGTGCCCAGCTCTGTGTCACCTGTCCCCTGGAGCTGGTGGCTGTGTGTGTCCACGTGGGAACTTAAGTTGTGCACTTGTGGCTGTTTTAAGTGACCTCCCTAAAGTATGTTTGTGTCCTCCGTGACCTTGGATTGTGAAGATTTATTGAGCAAGTTGGGCTGTTTAGGAGACTTCTTGTATCTGATATAATCTGTATAATTTTTTTTACCTTTTCAAGGTGCTTCTTCTTGAGTGACAAATTTTTCAGTTGACACAGTTTGATTAGTTTTATTTTTAACTGTTTCTTAAAATTTGTGTTAGGACCCTATTTAACGTGGAAAACTCACAACCACTTAGAGCACATGCCGTCCCCTCAGGGTTTCTGGGAACAGGAAGAGGCCTGCTCCACTACTGTCGCCGAGATGGGGGTGTGTGTGTGACCCCGAAATGCCGCCTGGCTCGTGTGTAGGCACACCCGGGTGCCAGACCGACCAAAGACTCCACCCTGGCTGTGCTCGCTGGTGGCGTCCTTCTGGGTGGCTTGACTTCTCCAGGGCAGGTCTCCTTGTCTATGAAAGGGGAGTGATGCTAAGTAAGACCCTGTGGTGACCTGTCGGCGTGTGTCATGCACGCCAGTGACTTAGCATTTCAGAAGCATTCAGTAAAAGCTAGTTACTGCTGTGATTTGTAAAGCTGCCCACAGCCCCGCAGAATTTACCCTTCTCGAGAATTACTAAACTATATAAAATCTGCAAAAATCAGTCCTTGGGATTTTCACATTCTTGTAGTAGCGGGGCGGCCAGTTGTGTGGGAGTTGAACGTTCTCTCTCCAGACTGTAAGCCATCAGCACCGGAGTGGAACGCATCTACATAATGAGTCAGGACTATTCGGTGTGTTTCATTCAGATGTGCTTAGGGATACCGTAGGACAGCTGAAAGCTCGAACTGTCTCGGAGAAATTATTTAAATCCAGTGGGCAAAATAACTGCAGAAGCAGTCACTTGGACCTAGGGTCACTGTGGTGTTCAAGAGACTGTGCGCGAGGATGGGGGCCCGGCCTCCTGAGTGTTCCTGCAGACGGAGTTGTGTTGGAGCAGCCGTCCGTGGCTGCCCGCATGGGCTGGTGGCAGCGCCATGATGGTGTCGGCCTGGCGGCCCACAGACCCCACGCTGTGTGCCCCCTGGCCCTTGACAAACAAGGTCTGTGAACTGCTGCGTCACAGAGATCGTAAAGGGCCCCTAAGTGGAATATGTTGTATTCGTGGATTGGAGAACTGACTCAGTTCCATCCCGGTTCTGATCCTAGCAGTTCTGGGATTTTTGTGGGCCTTCATACTTTTTTTTCTTTCGGTAAGAAATGATAAACCAACTCTTACAGTTGATGTGGAAATATGTAGGGCATGGTGTGCAGAGAAGAGATGTTGAGTAACCTGAGCACTCGGGACTTAGCCGTGAAAACACGGCAGGGAGCAGGACGGCGTTGGCACCACCACGGGCAGTTGTGAGCAGAGAGACATCCAGAAACGACCCTACGCCTCCTGGGACTGTCAGTTCCCGACTGAGGACAGTGGGCGATGGGTTGTCAGTAGGTGGAGTCAGGCAGCTGTGGCTTGGCCCTGCCTCACACCCACAGGCAGCACGGTGGGCTGAGTCTGAACAGGAAGGGTGACGTGCTAAAGCTTCCAGAGGACACAGAAAGAGCAGCTGTAAGAGAAACCAGTGTTTCATCGTTGTCTTACCAGGATGCGTTCCCACTGATAAACTGAGTTCCTACACTACCTCCTGTGCAGGCCGGCTGCAAAGCCCTTTAGTTAGACTCACCACCCATTGAGAACAGTCTCTTAGAACCAGAAGTAGGTCTATTTCCAGTGCAGAAAGAGCCGGCATGCTTAGGAGAAGTAGCGAGAGGTGTTCCCACCCCATCAAGGGCTCACGGGCTCCCACTTTGGGCCAGTCGGCCCCCCTTTGTGCGTGCTATCTGTGCCGAGAAAGCGCGCAGTGATGGACCGGTGCATTGCTCGGCGCGAGAGGCTGCTTGGCTTGACGAATTATCGGAAGTGTCATGTGCTACGTACGCACTGTAAAACCGTAGTCACTAAGCGTGAGGGCGTTTTCTGTGCCCATGTGTGCTGATGGAAAATGTCCGTGCTCAGCGGCAGCACAAGGACGCAGGAAGCACGCCTCTCCCCGCCCTCCCCTTCTAGCCCCGTCCTCCCTGGCGGCTTCTCGCACCCATATTTTAATTTCATCTGGTCCTTCCCATTCTTTAGGGCCGGTGGGGAGTGACGGCAGCAGAGGAGGAGGAGGAGAACAGGAGGATTCAAGAGTTTCGAGAATCTATCCCGAAAATGTGCTCGCAGCTGCGGATACTGGCCCATTTCTACCAGGTGCTGGCAGGGCCCGGACCACACTGGTGTGTTCCTGCAGTAGACCGTTGCCATCAGAATGGTTAGAACACAGTCCTCTCGGTCCACCCTCCACCCAGGGTGGTGCCCAGTCTTGGCTGTGACCTTCCCAGGGACCCTGGGCTCACCCCCAATGCTGGCCTGGGAGGGTTCCGGTGGTGTCGGCGGTGGGCGGGGGCTCTGGGAGGGCCGGGGTGAGGCCGGAGGGGGCCGCGGGCGTGCGGGGGGCTGTGGAGGAGCCGGGCTCACAGGGCAGCGGGCGCTGAACTTGGCACACAGCCCTGGGAGGCTGAGAGAGACACCGAGGCCCAGAGTCCATGGGCTCTGCCTTTTATGCCTGTGGTGGTTTTGCCTTCTGGTTCCGTCTGTTCTCAGTGTGATTTTAGTGATGGAGATACAGGTGAAAAGATTTTGTGAAGAATTTTTACATTTGGTTGCTGGTAACTAATAAGACAAATCAAGCATTGACGTTAAAACCTTTGAAAATTACATATTTGTGTGCTAATGTCTCCACGTGGTTCAGGATTTCACACGAAGGTGCCGCCTGTTCATGGGCATCTAGTTTCTTCCCGTGTCCTCACACTTCTGATGGCGGTCTTCCGCGTGACGTGGGCAGGGAAAGACTTTGTCCCTTTCCCAAGTGTCTTCTTCTGACGTTAGTGACTGTTGCGTGTTTGTTGAAAATATGTTTCCTAACGATGATGGGGTTGTGTTCAGTGCAAAAGTATCTTCACCGGATACTGTTTTCATAATGAAATACCTACTTGACCTCCGTGTGCAGAAATAGCATGTATGCACATTTCTTAAAAATGGACATCTACAGGCACCTGAGGGGCTCAGTCTGTTGAGTGTCCAAATATTGATTTTGGCCCAGGTCACAATCTCATGGTTTATGGGTTCAAGCCCCACATCAGGCTCTGCACTGCCAGCATGGTGCCTGCTTGGGATTCTCTCTCTCCCTTTCTCTCTGTCCCTCCCCTGCTCGTACTCACTCTCTCTCTGAAAATGAATGAATAAACTTAAAAAAAATGGATACCTAATGGTCAGCTCCATATTATTTTTTTTAATTCAAAATTTTTTTTTTAATTTTAGAGAGAGAGCACAAGCAGGAGAGAGGGACAGAGAGAGAGAGAGAGAGAGCGAGAATCTCAAGCAGGCTCCACACTCAGCACAGAGCCCAACATGGGGCTCGATCCCACCACCCTGGAATCATGACCTGAGCTGAGATCAAGAGTCGGACAGTGAACTGACTGAGCCTGCAGGTGCACTGCTACTATTAAGAGAGTTGTGTATCTGCTGCAGAGAAATCTTGAAAATGCCTGTCCCCATGCTTGTTTCTCAAAGAGATAGGGGTGATTACATATTTCCTGAGAGAGTTAATACATTTTTGAAAAGGAATGTATAATCCCAGTTTTACTGAAATTACAGTCTTAATCTTCTTTCTAAATCATGGCCATTGGGATTTCTTTTCCCTTAACAGAAAAGTCCTCTTCTGTTCTCTGAATTATGGAAACAGCAGGGCATCAACAGCCACCATCATGTTCTGCTTTTGAGCCATGACTGGAGTCCCGAGCCTGAGCACAGACCTGTCCCTCACATGTCCCCGTAGTGACCTTCACACGTCTGTTTTGTTGCCCAGCAAGGAGCCACTGTTTATATTCTTGTGATAGAATTGCTTAGAGACTGTTTCTGAAGCCCCCTGTTTCCCAGAATGACACAGGTGTCCACAGCGCCCTGCTGTGCGCCAGCTCAGTGTGTGTCCCTTGGTGTCACATGCCCGAGTCCCCAGGAGCAAGGACAGGGACCGAGGTGCTGTTGGGGTTTGGGAGGACTGTGGCATGTGGTGTTTCAGCGAGGACTTCTCTGCACATGAGACCTCCTGTGGGTCTGCAGGCGTGGGGACAAACCTCACCTGCTTGACGGACACACGCCTGCTGGCTGTGACTCAGGAACCTGACGGTGGGGTTTGTGCTCCTAAGTGACTCCACCCTGCAGAGAAGTAGCTGGGTTTTGACGTCTGAAGGTTTGAGGACAGTCATGTCCCCTCACGTTTACAAAGCCCCTCGATAAGGAGGTGACGCTCCACACTCTGCCTGTGAATCTTCAGGAAGGAGACTCAGCCTGGGAGCTGATGGTCGTGCCTTAGAGGCTGGTCCTTCCTCGTGTTTGCCTTGTGCTTTCCTGTGAGGGCTTTATGATTCAGGCCTCTAAATAACTCAAGGGAAAGATGAAAATGTAACTGGGTTTTGTATTTAAAATAAAAAGTGGCTCCTGGGGGACTCAGTCGGTTAAGTGTCCACCTTCGGCTCAGGTCATGATCTCACGGTTCTTGAGTTTGAGCCCCATGTCCGGCTCTGTGCTGATAGCTCGGAGCCTGGAGCCTGCTTCGGATTCCGTGTCTCCCTCTCCCTCTGCCCCTCCCCTGCTCGTGCTCTGTCTCTCTCTCTTTCTGTCTCTCTCGGCAATAAACATCAAAAAGAAGGGTACATTTCTAAGAGCGTAAGGTTAAACATAATAAAAAGAATAGGCTGTTTGAACATCAGAAGCTTCACTGCTTTGCATATTCTTACAGAACTTAGGGCAGAAAGGGAAACGTGTTGGTTCTTTTAAATAAAATCGATTGATAGCGCATTTGTATCTGTGCCCATGGGCATCTCCTCCCCACACCCTGCCCTCCTTTGGGATGCCTGCTGCAGTGGGGGTTTATGCAGGACCGTGGGTGTGGACAGAAATCCCAGCCCACTGAGGCCACGGGGGCGGGCCCCCACTGACGTGCCTGTTCCTTTCCTGTCCCCAGGGTGTGGTGCAGCAGTTCCTGGTGCTGCTGACGACCAGCTCCGACGAGAGCCTGCGCTTCCTGAGCTTCAGGCTGGACTTCAACGAGCACTACGAGGCCCGAGAGCCGAGGCTGCGGGTGTCCTTGGGCTCCCGCGGGCGGCGTGGCTCTCACGCGTGAGCCCTCCCGTATCCCCCGGCGCCGCCTGTGCTGGGGACTGCGGGTCAAGGTGAACACGCTCGCGTGCGAACCCGCGAGGCTGCCGGCGTGCCGCCCACGAGCCCCTGAAGCTCCTGGGGGCACGGCATCTGTCACATCCAAATCTTGTCATCACACACGGAGTGGATGTATTTGTAACGTCACCGAGTTACACAGGCCCGTTTGCACTACTCAAGTTTGTTTTTTAACGTCTTCGTATTTACGAGATACCATACTTCGTTGAGGCTTCTTAAGCTCTCCATGATATAATTTATATTTGTCACTTTTTGAGAAATCCCTGTTGCTTTTGGAGAAAATTAGAGCAAATGGATGTTCATCACTTAAGATGGTAATTTTGTTCTTGCTATTTTTTTAACCTCCTCCTTAGAGGCAATTTTTGTTATATGATCAAGTTCAATTGAAACAGAATGTCCCTGCTAAGAAAATATACAGAGCATTTTATTTTGGTCTGTAATGTGTAAAATGTCAACTTCTGTAAGAACGTTTACACATTTATCCTTCTTTCAAAGTTTACATTTTTATATTTAATTTACTCTTTCAGATAACTACTCTAAAATAGCGTAGGACGTCCCGGTGATCTGAACAGCCACCCTCAAGCCCAGATTTCCTCAGCCGTCGGGACGATGTAAATAGAGACTAGAGAGTGAACGAACTATTTTATTTTCAAATTCTGATGAGCATTTTAAAGCAAGTGACATGAATACGGAAGGCTTCCTTTTCCCTTGCCTATTTTTTCATTGTAAATATTTATATACTGACCAGGTGTAGGGAACTGTTTTTTGTAAAAACGTCATCAAGTCACATAAATCCACCTTTATTATGTTGCATAAGTGAAACTTAGAAAATTAAAAGCAGTCTTTCAGCTGTATCGGTTCCTCCCTGAATGGAGCAGCTGTGAGGAAAGCTGGTCCCTCGCCAGGTGGCAGGGCACACGTGGGGACGAGGGTGACACCTAGGACGCAGCCCGCGTGCCCTTTGGTGCGGAGGGGGGCGGCCACCTCTCAGGGCTGGCGCTGCCCTCATAGCTCGCTCTGCTGTCCCACCCAGTTCCCCAGGGCTCTTGGGGGGGGTCCCCGCTCTGCAGAGTGCATCTGAACGTTGTAAGAGAGCAGTGTAGTTTAGGTTAAAAGTTTGTAAAATTGGAGTTTGGAGCAGGGTTTTGTCCCGGAACGCTTCCCAGGAGCGAGGGAGTGCCTTGTCCAGAGTGGTCCTCCCGTGAAGACTTCCATGAGCCGAGATGGAGGAGAGCAAAGTAGCAGCCCGCTGTGACGTGTATGGAGGAGTGTCTGCGCCCCCCCCCCCCCCCCCCCCCCCCCCCCCCCCCCCCCCGCCCCAAAGCGACCTTTCTTAGGCTTTTCTCGGGACGCATCTTGCTGGAAGAGGCACAGGATCGAGAGAAGGCCCGGGTGCCGGCAGACGCGGTGCAGAACTCTGGCTGGCTGCTGAGCAGAACGATGGGAGCACAGTCCCCCAAGGGTGCTGGGCTGCAAAGCCAGCCCTGAATGCTCTGGAAGATCCTCTCCAGACAGGCACTGATGTGGGCCTTTTGTGAAAGCCAAGTGGCGTGATGGGGGCTTTTGAAAAGCAGGGGTTACTTGTATCTCCCAGAGAAAGTTCCCTAAGATTGTTGACCTCGGAACCTGTTTTTATTTTATTTAAAGCATTTCTCTTCTAATCTTCCTTAGGAGCCACTCTGGAAAATGCTAATCCAGATTTGGTGACTAAAACTCCGTTTGAGCTTAGGAGGAAGTGATGAGTGGGTTATGGAGGTGCTTTCTGAGGGGCCTCCCGGGGGGGGTGGTCCCTGGTCAGAACCGTGGAGGTGGCAGCCACAGGGGAGCTGGTGGTCCAGGTTGTTTCAGACCCCACTGGGGACGTCCTGTTACCCGGCAGACCTGTCACAGAGCTGGTCTCCTCAGTGATGAGTCGGGGCTCCCCATGGGGTGGTTGAGGTGGGAGAGCCCGCTGGAGCGGTGAGTCATCCCTGGAGGCAGGTACCGGCATGGCTCTGGGAGGGCCACTGCTGCTTCACCCGGAGAACGGTAGTGGTGCTGACCTTTCAGGCCTGTCGTGTAGATCGGACAGAACTGTGTGCGTCTAGTCAGGCTCTGGGCACGTTCTTGATGAATGGAGCTCCTGTGTCTGGTGTGCTGACGCCTTTCGCCCCGGGCAGCTCTGGGGAGCCCAGCCCAGCTTTCCTGTCACTGGGGACGCCTCTTACCGCCTGGGTCAGGTCAGGTGCCAGGCTGCAGGCACGGCTTGTCTCCGCTCAGGACTTGCCTCTCTTGAGTCCTGTTGGGTTAGCAGATTTGACAAGCTGGGGCAGGGGGCACCTTTCCTTCATGCATACACATTTGTCACCAAGGGAACTCTCCCAGCCCTATGGAGAACATGTCCTGGCTTTATGGGACACCATGGGACAGCCAACGTGAAAACCTGACTCGGAAAAAAGCACTTGTATCAAATAGGCACAGTCATACTCAGAGTGAGTCACGAGGCACAAAGTCTACGTGAAGGGACGAGTGTTCCCAGAAAGCAGCACCCGAGGTCTGAGGACAAGGAGCTGGCGGGCTAGTGGCCTCCCCGTGAGCACGGCTCCTCAGCGCTGGGAACATTGGCGTGGACGCTGTGACCACAAGCAGGGAGGACAGGCCTCCCACCAGGCTTCCCGGCAGACCTGTGTAGAGCTGAGCATGGCCGTCTGGGCCTCGGTGGGCGAGAGGGACTCACCACCCTGCTCGCGTGCATGTAAGTGGATGAGGGATGCGGAACGGCACGGAGGAACTTACGCTTCAGGAACGGCAGTATTTGCAGATGTATGGAGGTAATCAAGGGAGGGCAGCGCCTACGTAAAAGGCGGAGGTGCTCCCTTGTGTGTTGGTGACTTGGGCGGAGTCGCTTGGGTCTGTTAGACTCTGACCTGGTGGGGAGAAGATGCCGGATGCTCTGGCTGTGTCAGAAGATTGTGGTCCTGAAGTCGTGATTATTCCTCCCAAGGACCCTGCTCGGTTTCAGCAGTGTCATCACCAGACACGTCTTGGTGCGTGTGTCATAAACAGCCTTTTTTCCTAGTCTACTGTGGTTCTGAATTCCAGGTTCCTTTTTCTTTCTAGGAAATCACGTGTTTTCATTTAGGCTGTCAAGGTTGTTGGCATTAATGGTTAAGTAGATGCCTTTATGGTAATTGAAATACTCACGTTTGAGTTCTAGCTCCTTCGTTCCCGGTATTACGTATTCGTGCTTTCTTTTTTCTTTCTGGTCACCTTCCCAGTGTGATCATGGCTCTGTCTGTCAAGAGTTATCTCTTGATATTATCATTTGACTATGCATAGATGCCATTTTTTGCTTTATTTTTAAATTACTATTCTGTATTTAATATGTTCCTCGTCCTCTTTTGGTTTATTTTTTCCTGAATCGAAAACGTATGGAATTTCTTTTTCTCATTGTGTTTGTGACTGAATCATTCTCTGCTTTGCATTACATCACAGGCTTTCACGGAGTGCATTTTCCGTTTCATTAATTCCTAACCAGGCTGTGATTGTCTTATTCTGACTGTGGATATAGTTACAGTTCAAAATTTGTGGGAAGTTTGCTTTTTTCTCAGTTGTTAGTTTCTGAAAAGGAAGAATAATACACAGATTTGTCAAACCATGTATCAAAAAATGTAATGCTACTATGTAAAAGCGGTAGGACACAAGAACAGAAAGGGACACCCACAGACGAGAACTTGTGGGTCTTTAGAGTGTGTGAAGGGTTACTTCGGGTACGTGGAATGGTTTGCGGCAAACCACTGGGAAAAAATTTTAAGCTGAGAGCTTTTAACTCCCATCACACAAGGAAACACATTCACCTGTTGGCCATTTACCTTGTTTCCAGCATTTGTTGTAAGTAAAGCTGCTGTGAACAGCTGTGGCGGAGTCTGTGGATAAAGGCCTTCCCGTCCTTCCCGTCCTTCCCGTCCTTCCCGTCCTTCCCGTCCTTCCCGTCCTTCACGTCCTTCACGTCCTTCACGTCCTTCACGTCCTTCACGTCCTGGTGGCTAGGACAGGGCACGGCTAGCCGTCCACACCTCACACGTTTACATCTCATGTCTCAGAGCCTGGCCGGCGAGGCAGGGCCCATGAGCCAGAGCTCCAGTGTCCTCGCATCCCTTGTCCACGCTGCAGGAGGAGCAGCCTCTTAAGTTCAGATGTTCTCACGGGTGTGTGCTGGCCTTTCACTGTGGTTTTTACTTGCGTGTCTCTGGGGTCTAATGACACCGAGTGTGTTTCCATAGGCTCATCTGCCGTGAAATTGTGTCTGTCAAGATATTTTCCCATGTTTTATTGGGTTCGTTGTTTTCTTACAGAGTTTTGAGAATTCTTTATATATATCTGGATGTAAGTCTTTTATCATGTAGGTGATTTACAAATATATTCTCCCTGTTTAGGCCTTTTTAAAAGACTTAAGCACCCCCCAGGCTCTGTGCTCGTCAGCATAGAGATTTTTATTTCTGTCCGTGGTGTGGACAGAGTCTCCCACAGGTATAGTTTGCAGGGAAAAGACTGGACAAATGAGTATGTAGAGAATCCTAGCAAAGCTGCTACTGCTTTTTTTGCTGTCATTTTAACCACAAATTGAAACTTGTCAGAGGAAGCGATATCTGTGTATTAGCCTGCAATTAACCAAGAGTCCTCACCGTGATTATAGTAGTTTCCAATTGCTGTCAACTTTAGATTGTAGCTATTAATTTAGATCTGCCTGTCCATCACAGGTGTTGAGCACTTGAAAAGTGCCTACTCTGCACTGAGATGTGTGTAAGTGTAAAATACACTGCAAATCCCAAATATTTAGTATGAAAAAAGGAATGTAAAATAGCTCAATATTTTTTCATACAGTTACATGTTGAAGTGATATTTTGTATATGTTTGCTTAAATAAAATATATTAAAATTAATTTTGCCAGTTTTTTCTTTTCTTTTTTTTTACATTTTAAACATTGCTACTAGAAAACTATAAATTACCTATGCATCTCC